GTCTTCTTCTCCGCTATTGTTTGCACCATTAAAGTTGCTGCAAAGCGTACAAAAAGTACCACCCTGCTTCGCAACACAAAATTTATCTCGGCAACGTTGATGCGTCAAATGATACGTGGGTAACCGAGGCTCGATCCAACGGCCGTGTTTTTGAAGCCCATGTGATTAGGACGTGGGTGCAAATTTTGTGATCGACAGTCCACTCATCCTGACTGTGAAAATAATCGCCCAACTTCTTGACACATTTACAGTTAATGCTCATACTAACCTCTGAACCAGGTGGCTGCAGATCTTAAAGCTTTTATCAAATCTCACTTCCCGATTGCCCAATGGCAGCAGTTGATGCTTGCATCTATGCCAAACAAGACGTGGCCCATCCTCCACGCTATGCTTTCAGGCACTGAGTTATGAACAGCTTCGGAGATTGGCACTGGCAACGCATTACTTGGTGTCAACATGTCAAATTTTGGGGCGAAGCATAAGGGGGAAAGTTGGGGTGAGGTATACTCAATGAGGGTGACTCCAGAGATGCTTTAAAGGGATTGAGTTAGTGTTGCATTGTTGAGTGGTCGTTAAGGCAAAGAGTAGGAGAGATGAAGGTATCTAACGCGTTGGCGTAGTGGCTGTTATGTGTGTGCTACGCTCACCGATGTAATCGAATATCATGGAAGTGTTGGGGAGATTGTGTGCACGAACTGCAGCCGAAATGGACTGGCCTGGTGTAAGTCGAGAGGAAGTGTAAAAGAGCCGTGATGGAGGCAGCAACCTCTCTTGCCAATAATCCTCAAGCATCCATTCGATAGTGTAGCCGGTAAGGGGGTTGTAAGGGTTAGCTGGAGGCTGCCAAGTCATGTTCACTGCGTAGGGGTCGACTGCATGTAGTTGCACATGCTGAGGAAGGGTGAGTTCTGCACAAATCAAGAAGGACACAAATGTGTCTGCATTTCCAATGGAAAAGTGATGTATTTAAATAGGTTGTGCATAAAGGTAAACTAGATAACCGCAAATGCTGGATAGACGAGGACACAACTTACTGATTTGGCAAATTCCTTAACCTAAAGGAGGTTGTGGAAGGAGTCG